ACCATCATAAAGGGCAGGATTTACCATAGATTCACTCTGTGCGCGTATGAATCCCCAGCACATAAAGGTTGAAAGAAGTGGGTATGCAATTGAGGTGTTGCCCCTAAAAGACGTGGGAATCCGTCAACTTTGGGACAAAAACAAGTAGAACATGGGGTCCGAGTTTTGCCAAGCTGAGGATGTTCAGGAATTCCTACATTGTCTAGTACGTATGTTGATTGTAACTGAGCAAAGAGGTGTTGATTCACCTACCAATGGATTTCATTGGTTGCTTCTCATGTATTCGTTGGTTGGTTACCTGCTTTCAGGTCAAATCAAGGTCAGTGTACTCCTGGCTGTGACTCCAGCGAATTCCGCTGCCGGACCCTTTCAGAACTCGGGCCCTCCAGGATTTCGGCCCTTTCGGCCCTTTTAGTCTTTTGGTGTAGTCAAGTCTTCCCCATCCTTGATGAGTTGTCCCAAAGTTTTTGTCATCGGGATTATAACTGGGGCATCACCAGAAATCTTTCTGGAAAAAAACGGTAAGATTGGACATGGTCGTCCTCGGGGATGGGTGATGTACTCCTGTAATTCATGTCAGACTAGCTGGTCAATGGATGTTGATCCCCCAAAATATTTCCAACTATGGTAGTTCAAGGGTACAAATTTTGATCATACCCATTGTGTTTCACACTTTGGCCTTTACCCGAATCCCAGTTTGGGCCACATCTGGACCGTGGCTCTCCGCGCCGATCGGTCGATTTCCCCGCAAAAAGGGTGATGTTTTGGTGCCCAGTGCTGGTGGAGGGGTCGGCAATCAGCATGACACAACCCAGCTGGCTCGGGAACTCCATAAAGGGATTAGGATTTGGAAACGAAGATGGTGTAGCATTTCAGAGCAAGTGGATAGGACAGGGAAATCTATTAGACCATTGGATATTTGGCAACTAAAGACCATTGGCCCCAATCAAGACTTGGCTGTGGGCCACCATTCAAGCCCCAGCACGCAACAGCAACACCTTTGGGTCACAGCAACCCCTCGAAAGATTCAGGAAAGAAACATCCTATTGACATCCTGTTGAAATAGTTTTAACTTACCTTCTGCCTCTCGTTGGGGGTTGCAGACTGGCCCAAATTTGAAGCCATCCCCATTTCAGGTCACCCTTTGCGCTACTTCCTCCAGCACTGCATTTCACCGACGCTGCGCTTCTTGAAGCGCTTGAATTCCTTTCTGCAATCGCAGCCTCTCACCCAGCAGCCGAGTCTCGCAGAGCCTCGTCACATCCTGTGCAAAAAGCGCCAGACCAACGGCCAGAAACGTCTTGTCCAAATCGGAGGTCCATCTTTTTGTTGACCCATACACATGTACATGGTATACATACATATATTGTGGATGTAGATCTATACAAAGAAAAAATGTTTAACTTTGACGTGATGAACTCCTGTTCTTTCAATCAGCCTCCTCTGTGAGGAACACCAACTCCGAAGTATCAGAGATGTCCTGTCGAAAGCTGAGATCAGCACAGGTTCCTATCTACCAAGACTTCGGGGGCGCACTTGGGGGTAGTTTTGTAGATATAACCATGGGATTTTAACTCCCATAAGTTGGGATATGGGTCCTCTGCGACTCTGGCTATATATCCACTTAGTCCACAGGGCCTTAGAAGCAGGATCTTACAAAACTTTTTCGTCTCTTCAGCCATTTTTGTAAAGCGCAGTGACAACTTTGGGGATGAATTGGGAGTTCACACGATTGAAAACTGCCCCCTGATGGCTAGGAACTTGGAGGATGACTTTCCTCTTGAGGATTTCCATTTTGGGTGTCCACCTTGATCATTCTCTCTGAAATTGATGGGGAATCTCCAAACATCTCTTGCTGCTAGTTGATCTCGTTGTATATATATAATTCACTACTCATAGGAATGGCAAACCCCATGAGAGCGCTTGGCACTTCTGAGGCTCCTTGCGGCTTTTGTCGTCCCAACAGAAATGATGAATTTTTGGGACTACAGATCAACCGTTGGTGGATAAGTGGAATGATCCATCTGCATTGTTGAGGATACAATCTACTTGCGAACCACTTATTGATGTCAGGAATTCCCTCGATTTGGGCAACCCACCCTGTGGATCCAAATTCACGCTGAACAGCTACAGACAAACCTCCGCAACTCCCAAAAAGACAGAAAATGATTTTTGGATCCACAGATGTTACTTTTCTGCATCGTTCTTGGGCACTACCATTCCCTGCATACTTCCACCAATGAAACTCCTGGCCCCGTAAAATCTGCTGCCATTCCGCTGAGAGCCGGTAGGTCTCCTAGGCAGCAAAAACGGTGCAATGTGGGAATCGGACAAGGTGATCACCACCCGTATAATCAATATGTGTCATGGTCAAAACATGGGATGAATGGAATATGGACCATCATTGGGGATTCCTTCGAATGGGCCAAATCCCCAACCGATAATGGGGTGGTGAAAACAAAACGCCACTGGATCAACTGCAGTATATATTCCTCAATAATTCCAAGTTCTTGAACCCCCCACAGCCAAAAATAACATGTTTGGTGCCCAAAGGCCCTCATTTTGGTCGGTCACAACCCAAGTTTCTGATGAATTGAGCAGTCTTCAACCATCTGTTGTCCTTCTCATACTGGTTGATGAATCGGGATTGCCGCTGTGGGTCACAATCACCACCAATAGAGTAGAGACCATGTCGCCACAAGGTATAAGCCTCTACGGGCAGATTACCATAGACAAGCAAATACAAGATGGTTTCCCTGGGAGAATGACCGACTTTCATGGCCGGTTTTCCACATCGTTTCGTTACTTTATTGGAGGGAACATACTATAAAATCCCAATAAAACCAGGCTTTTCACCCACTAACTTCCTATGAAACCCCAAGAAATCCTATTAAAAAAACAATGGTTTGATCATTGCTCAACCAAACATCACTTTGGGACGGCTAAGAACCCCAACGCAGAACTTTGACAGATCCACCGCGCTTGGATCGACCTTGACCGTTGTGCTGGGCCGCTTTTGAATCCAGAAGGGCAGGCCATGGTACAAAATACCTCCATATATGTTCATAATCTATATCATATCAGATCAATATATATATATACATTCACGCATATATATATATATATATATATCATTATATATTGTTATGTTGCATCATATTGTATACATATGTTCCAAGAAAGAAATAGTTGACTGGAAGGGTGTGTCTTAGAATCATGCCCCCGTGTTCGTTCAAACTTACCACAGATTCCACAGTTCCCCAAAAAACTGGCCTCGGCATCCCTTCCCTGCGGCAGCCTGACACATCCCGAGAGGGGTCGAGTGACGTCAAGCGGGTTAAAGCCCATGAGGAAACGAACCAAAAATGGCAGGGTCTCAAGGAAGAAGATTTTAATGGATTTTACCATGATTCTTCACCCATGAACAAAAGCCAGGTTTTAACCTTAGAAGTGAAGAGTTCAGCCATCAAACCAGGAGTTCACCGGCAAAAGCCAAGATTTTACCTCACGGAAACAAGAACGCTGGGGAGTAAGCGCCAGAGATGGTGAGTTTACAACCGAGAATTGGGAGTAATTTTTTCGCAAGGTGCTCAGACCAACAGCGGCACCACCATGTCTTGGAATACGCCTTCAAATGCACATTGCCGTATGATAAACCCAGTAATTAATCAATCCCCAACTGACACTTGCTATTGCGTGCCCTGATTTTGGATGGTATGAATATTATAAATTGCATCCAAATGGTTGGTTACTGGGATGGTTCTGGGGTCAAAATTCATGTATCCTCACTTCCCCCAGAATACTTTCCGTCAAAAATATCTGTTTCCTAATGTGGTTACAACAATCATAAACCACCCATTTTTGATGGTTTATACCACCCATTTATGTTGATTTGGGGGATGGTGCAAAATGGCATCGTTTTAACCACATTTTTTCAAAATTAACAATGTGATCAGCCGTTCCAAGGCCCAGAGCTCGGCCTCAACCAATGGCATGCCCCAACCAATCAAATAAATTGGGATTTTATGATATTCCCTCCATAGCAATTCCATGGGACTTGGCTTGTAATCCACAAAACTCGGGAAAATCATTCGTGAAAATCTGGAGTTCACCAGCCACCATGAATGGTTAATGCTTACAATGACCTAAAAGCTGTGGTCCCCCCGTGTTTTTTTGAATTATCGAATCCCATACCGAATCAGCAGCAGCCCAACATCTCAATTTGGCCGAGGCACGTTCAAAACATTGTAGAACTCGGGTAGGGGACCTGTCCGCCATTGCAAGAGCCATTGTGAACCCTCTTAAACCCAAGAGCCATATAAACCTAAAAGTGATGTCGGGCAAAAGTGCGGGCGGTGTGCTACCATTCGACCCATACCAAAAAATTATCCATGGGGATCATGAAAAAATCAATTACAGTGTGGGAATTGGATGAATTTATCTTGATTACAATGAGATTCATCCAAATGTTGATTACAATGGGATAAATGGGTTTACATTCATCATCCAATTCATCCCATTTATCTTGATTACAGTACAGTGTGGGATCGGTGTGCTGTTCCAAATGTTGAGACACGCCCAGAGACCCCTTCCTTTCCACAGACCCATGAATTCCGGCCTCGAAGGCAAGCCTGGCTTCAAAGTTTCCAAAGGGATCGCGACAAACGGAAGAGATTATATCAACCCACAAACAAGATGCAAAAAAGTCTGAAATCCAAATCATTATTAGAAAAATAGTAAGTATATATATATATATACCTGGATATTCATTGGTTACAAATTTCTTTCCAGGGCAGATTTTGGTTTGATTTCTGACCATTTTTTGGAGATTTACCCATTTCAAAATAAAACTGACCATTTCAAGAAAAAACATGCCACTTCATGTTTTCATTTTTGAGTTATGATGAATCTGCCCGGGTATTTCCGCCCTTTTCCCGGGTATTTCCGCCTTTTTCCCGGGAATTTCCGCCCAAAAAAATCGACACATTTTTACGCAAAGTAGAGTAAGATCAGCCCAAAAGGCACGAAATCCAAAATTAACCACAATAATCAAAAAGTGACCATTTCCAGCTCCTTCACAAGAAATCCGCCCTAAGGGCAGAAATCTTGGAAACGGACACTTATTTGTATCCTTTCGAAGATCCAGGTATATATAGATGTATATACATTACATGTCTATATGCCTTGGATTGATTTAGGATTATTATAATTGGCCTCAGATCATCAACTTCAAAAACCAAGCTGGGTGGACCAGGTGGTCGTAGTTGTTTTTCTGCGAAATCATGCACTTTCGAAGACCTCATCGCAGGGGTCACCATGCGAAGCTGAACCTCATCATCCGCACGGCTGCCTACTGGAACCTCTTGTGGGCCATGAGGCGTATGGCCTGGCCGAAGGCCAAGTTGATTTCTGCGAAGCTTTCCATGTTGCCATTCGGCCGTTGTGGATCATGCTGGTCGTGCAGCATCTCATAGCGTTCCTCAACTTCTTCGATGCTTGCGGTGGTTGGCAGCCTCGACGCTCCCGGACCATCTCCTGGTGACACCAACTTTCCCAGTGCTTCCTCCAGGGCTCTGCTCTCCTGTGTGCCCAAGGCGCATTGGAAGATGCCATGCGTGGCAGAACTGCCAGCCCAAGCTGCCAGCACACTTCCTACCATGATAGCAACGGATCCTACAGGGGTAACTGTCACAAGCATCCATTTGGCCAGACAAACTCCTGCCCAGCTCATAGTTTTGGAAGAAATCACCGCCAGAATTGAATCCACCATTGTGATCTTGTCAATGCTCCCATCCTTACAAGACTTCATTGTGGAGCAAATTGTGTAGCTTGCTAGCATCAATGGTATATGGCCAATGATAAAGTTCTCCACTTCGATGTGACTGCACTCCTGGAGATTGTTGGGGAGGTTGCGCAACTCCTGAAACCAATATGCAGCCAACCATGGGCCGATTCTTGCGCATCCACGGCATGTTCCAACACACTGAAGGACTCCTGAACCTGAGGATCTGATCCGGCCTTCTCAATCAATACATTGCCTATGTCAAGTGGCAGTGCACCGTTCTTAGCCAAATTGACGCCCTCCTCCTTCGCAGCCTTCTGAAGGGCCCCAGCAAAAAGTTCATGGTACTTTTTGTATGCTTCAGCAACAGAGACCCCTGTGTCTGCAAAGTAAGTGCCCACCGCAGACTGATCAAGCAAGACTGCCGGAAGCGCTTGGGTAATCCCGATTTGAAAATTGACAAACAGATCATGTGCCCTGTTTGATGATGCGGGAAGAAAATGTTCTGCAAACCGCTCCAGAGCATCAGGAGAGCTCACACGGGCAGCACTTCCCGACAAAATGAACAATAAAGCTGCCGGAGATTTCAGGTTGATTGGGAAACAACTTCCAGGGCCTTGCAATCTGATCCGTGGAGCGTTGTAGGCTACGACGCCAACGGACAAGTTTTTCACTTCTTGCCCCAAATATCCAGAATCAAAGTAATCAAAGCTCCCGATTGCACTGACCTTTTGCCGAAAATCAGCAACTGACAGGCCCATGACGTAAGCTTCAGCGCTTGCACCAAAAGCAGTATCAAAGACTGAAACTTTGCAGATTTCCCTCAACTGTTCTGGTCTCGCCAGCAAGGTTCCCACTGCAACTTCAGCAGCCCTAATCACGTCTGCCCAGCGATCTGCCAAGGCCTCGCATACAGTCCATGGCAACCACACAGTTGGTGCATCAGGTCCAAAAGGCCTCTTCCCAAAAAGAAAGCCAAAATCAATGCGAAAGAGTTCACCACCTTTGGTGAGCATCAAGTTATCTTGATGCCCATCTCCTATTCCCAGCAAGTATGAGCATGCAAGGAAGCCAGCAGTGGTAGCAGCCAGCTTATCAAGTCGAAGTTGATTGTTCTCCAGGTATTCTCTCACTCGTGTGCCGGGCCAAATCCATTGTCGTACGCTTTCTCTCTTGAGCTTCCCAAGTGTAGTACTATCCTCAACCACTTCGATGAAACTTGCATCAGGCTCCACCAGAAACATGCGGTAGGTCTTCACCTGGACTGGATGCCGGCAGGCCTCCGAGATCTCCACGTCTCTTTCTGACCAGATCTGGTTCAATTTGCACAAAATTTCCATCGCACAAGCCTCACTGCCAATGTCTTCAGGCTTCAGAATCAGCCTTTTGACTGGCTGTTCTGGCTTGTCTGACCTTCGGAGCTGGAACATCCAAGGTCGAGTGATGGATTTCATGCGCCTCTCCACTTTGATTTGATCGTACTTGCGGAGTGCTGTGTACAACCCCGATTGCTCTTCTAGGAAAGAATCTGCCAGGCGTTCCTCGCTGAGGTAAACATCCGGGAGATCGTGCCAACTATGATCATCATCAGCAATCTTACGCACGGCATGAGACAGATGCTGCAGATACCTCGAACACCCCTGAGTCGCTACAGCTGCATAGTTCCTGTAGCATTTGTACTCATTGTACAGGGCCCAAGGCTCGGTACCATCACACATCCTGGCAATTAAAAAAAAAACTGGAGCAGGAGCCACAGCTGCGGAGAAACAGTCGTGACAGTTCCAGTCATGGCACCCTGATCACTGGCCCCACGCACAAAATGAGAGATGTTTAACTTTAAAGTTGGCAGTCATAGGACGCACTCAAAATGCCACTGAATCTTTCTCAAGTTGACCCTTCGCAAAAACAGCCCCCAAGAGTCAAGACAAAATATCCTCCAGCAAACTTACGTGGCAGCATGTTGTTCTGTTGCATGTTGAGATTGTGGATTGCCAAAAATGGCCCTGTTGGATTGAGGGTCAGTTTATCCCCTAAATCGCGGCATTCGCTGCACAAACAGGTCCGGCCAACCAAGGAGTGATGCGCATCAGTACAAAACGCGCTACACCTGGCGAGCCAAGTCCGCAGAATTCTTGGCAAACAAACCGGGGATGATGTCTGGGCCATGGGCGGGAGATTTGGGTGACTTCCCACCTCAATTCACCCTGAGGTTTTGAATTTAAGACTCCTGGCAGTTTAACTACACACACTGTGGCCTTTTGGCCTGGGTTTCACTGCAACTCAGTGTTGAACATCAATACTGGGCATATTCCCCAGCTCGAGACTGTTTTAGAATGCTGTCATGGTCAAGCCACCTGCATGGTAGATGAAATTGTCTCTACGGGCCTACTGACATCGATTTTATCGATTAGATGATGCGTAGTGTCAAATCAATTCAATTACCCTCTGGTAAACTAACATAGCTATTGAAAATGGCCATTTATAGTGAGTTTTCCCATTAAAAATGGTGATTTTCCATAGTTATGTAAATGTTTACCAGAGGGTAGTACAACCATACCTGCTGCTAGGCCACAGCAATGGTTTTGGAGATCCTGAGATCCCATTGGGCTCAAAACTGGCCATTGAACAATGCTTCCCTTCTTGCCATCACACTTTCCCGGGCCTTGGCGCCAGCAAGTGCCTGGCAATGTCATGGGAGTTTAATGGAAATGTCATGGGGATGTAATGAAATACATATTGGGAGATGTGTGTGTGTGCGCGTGTAAATTCATATGTAAATAAGTATATGTGATATGCCCCTTGAGTTCAACACAGCAGTGAGAAAACAACGCTGGCAGCGCCCGAGCTGAGGGAGGGTCCAAGGTGGTTGTTCAATGGCGAGGGAATTTGCAACGGCACGGAGGAGGAAGGCAAGTAGCGCCCCGAGCGAAGGTGCCATGGCCAGGGCCTCTAGGCAGAGCCAGCAGATGGAGCACCAGAGGTCCTAAGTCCTAAGACGTGGGCCCGTGACACCACCCGCCACCCCACCAGCCCTGCCAGGCAGCCCCAGCAGATGAGCGAGATCCGTGGTGGAAACTGACTTGCACTTTTGAGTTTGGCTTTCTTGTCGCATTCTCGCTGCTCAGGTCCAGGCGCAGCCCACAGCGTCCACAGCCCGGGATATGAGGTTTGGCAACGAGCTGGCACAGAAACAGAAGTAGACGAGAAGAGGAGGCGAGGAGAAGAAGAGGAAGAAGAAGGAGTTGCACCTTTGTTAAAATCTAGAGTGAGACCCTCACCTGGCAGGTGAGGAAAAATAGATATCATTGAAATTCCGCATTCTATCTACTTCAGGATCACTTTATAAAGATGGCAGGGGACCACCAGTGTCAGTGTAGACAACTGCGCGATTACAAAGCCGCTTCGATCCAGCGCTACTTGCAGTTCCAATGAACTGGGCGTTGTTGATCCCCTCCCTCGATCACACAAAACCCTCAGACATGGGACCCAACAGATCCAATACCACTGAGACTGGGAGGATGGGATGAATGACCCTCATCAGGAAATCCACTGGGATTGTCCACCAACTGGGAAACAACTGGTCATAAGAAAATCATGGCCACTAGCCATTGAAAACCACAAGAAATGGTCTTGGAAGAGGATTTTCGCAGAGTCATGGTTTCATAATCATCGAATCTTCCCCATTCAATGGCCTATTTCTGTGTATCCTTCCCCATTCGATGATCATTTTGTGGCGTTTAATCCCCCATCTTCACGATGGTCTCCGCGGGCCCTGCCTCCGTGCCGGGAATCCTCTGCCTTTCTTCTCTCTCCATGGCTGAAAGAAGTGGGTATGCAATTGAGGTGTTGCCCCTAAAAAACGTGGGAATCCATCAACTTTGGGACAAAAACAAGTAGAACATGGGGTCCGAGTTTTGCCAAGCTGAGGATGTTCAGGAATTCGTACATTGTCTAGTACGTATGTTGATTGTAACTGAGCAAAGAGGTGTTGATTCACCTACCAATCGTTTTGATTGGTTGATTCTCATGTATTCGTTGGTTGGTTACCTGCTTTCAGGTCAAATCAAGGTCAGTGTACTCCTGGCTGGGACTCCAGCGAATTCCGCTGCCGGAACCTTTCAGAACTCGGGCCCTCCAGGATTTCGGCCCCTTCGGCCCTTTTGATCTTTTAGTGTAGTCAAGTCTTCCCCATCCTTGATGAGTTGTCCCAAAGTTTTTGTCATCGGGATTATAAGTGGGGCATCACCAGATTTTTTTCTGGAAAAACCCAATAAGATTGGACATGGTCGTCCTCGGGGATGGGTGATGTACTCCTGTAATTCATGTCAGACTAGCTGGTCAATGGATGTTGATCCCCCCAAATATGCAACTATGGTAGTTCAAGGGTACAAATTTTGATCATACCCATTGTGTTTCACACTTTGGCCTTTACCCAAATCCCAGTTTAGGCCACATCTGGACCGTGGCTCTCCACGCCGATCGGTCGATTTCCCCGCAAAACGGGTGATGTTTTGGTACCCAGCGCTGGTGGAGGGGTCGGCAATCAGCATGACACAACCCAGCTGGCTCGGGAACTCCATAAAGGGATTAGGATTTGGAAACGAAGATGGTGTAACGGCATTTCAGAGCAAGTGGATAGGACAGGGAAATCTGTTAGACCATTGGATATTTGGCAACTAAAAACCATTGGCCCCAATCAAGACTTGGCTGTGGGCCACCATTCAAGCCCCAGCACGCAACAGCAACACCTTTGGGTCACAGCAACCCCTCGAAAGATTCAGGAAAGAAACATCCTATTGACATCCTATTGTTTTAACTTCCCTTCTGCCTCTCGTTGGGGGCTGCAGACTGGCCATCCCCATTTCAGGTCACCCTTTCCGCTACCTCCAGCACTGCATTTCACCGACGCTGCGCTTCTTGAAGCGCGTGAATTCCTTTCTGCAATCGCAGCCTCTCACCCAGCAGCCGAGTCTCGCAGAGCCTCGTCACATCCTGTGCAAAAAACCGCCAGATGCGACGGCCAGAAACGTCTTGTTCAAATCGGAGGTCCATCTTTTTGTTGACCCATACACATGTACATGGTATACATACATGTATTGTAGATGTAGATCTATATACATATATAATATTATATATATATATATACAAAGAAAAAATGTTTGACTTTGACGTGATGAACTCCTGTTCTTTCAATCAGCCTCCTCTGTGAGGAACACCAACTCCGTATCAGAGATGTCCTGGCGAAAGCTGAGATCAGCACAGGTTCCGATTTCTACCAAGACTTCGGGGGCGCACTTGGGGGTAGTTTTGTAGATATAACCATGGGATTATAACTCCCATAAGTTGGGATATGGGTCCTCTGCGACTCTGGCTATATATCCACTTAGTCCACAGGGCCTTAGAAGCAGGATCTTACAAAACTTTTTCGTCTCTTCAGCCATTCTTGTAAAGCGCAGTGACAACTTTGGGGATGAATTGGGAGTTCACACGATTGAAAACTGCCCCCTGATGGCTAGGAACTTGGAGGATGACTTTCCTCTTGAGGATTTCCATTTTGGGTGTCCACCTTGATCATTCTCTCTGAAATTGATGGGGAATCTCCAAACATCTCTTGCTGCTAGTTGATCTCGTTGTATATATATAATTCACTACTCATAGGAATGGCAAACCCCATGAGAGCGCTTGGCACTTCTGAGGCTCCTTGCGGCTTTTGTCGTCCCAACAGAAATGATGAATTTTTGGGACTACAGATCAACCGTTGGTGGATAAGTGGAATGATCCATCTGCATTGTTGAGGATACAATCTACTTGCGAACCACTTATTGATGTCAGGAATTCCCTCGATTTGGGCAACCCACCCTGTGGATCCAAATTCACGCTGAACAGCTACAGACAAACCTCCGCAACTCCCAAAAAGACAGAAAATGATTTTTGGATCCACAGATGTTACTTTTCTGCATCGTTCTTGGGCACTACCATTCCCTGCATACTTCCACCAATGAAACTCCTGGCCCCGTAAAATCTGCTGCCATTCCGCTGAGAGCCGGTAGGTCTCCTAGGCAGCAAAAACGGTGCAATGTGGGAATCGGACAAGGTGATCACCACCCGTATAATCAATATGTGTCATGGTCAAAACATGGGATGAATGGAATATGGACCATCATTGGGGATTCCTTCGAATGGGCCAAATCCCCAACCGATAATGGGGTGGTGAAAACAAAACGCCACTGGATCAACTGCAGTATATATTCCTCAATAATTCCAAGTTCTTGAACCCCCCACAGCCAAAAATAACATGTTTGGTGCCCAAAGGCCCTCATTTTGGTCGGTCACAACCCAAGTTTCTGATGAATTGAGCAGTCTTCAACCATCTGTTGTCCTTCTCATACTGGTTGATGAATCGGGATTGCCGCTGTGGGTCACAATCACCACCAATAGAGTAGAGACCATGTCGCCACAAGGTATAAGCCTCTACGGGCAGATTACCATAGACAAGCAAATACAAGATGGTTTCCCTGGGAGAATGACCGACTTTCATGGCCGGTTTTCCACATCGTTTCGTTACTTTATTGGAGGGAACATACTATAAAATCCCAATAAAACCAGGCTTTTCACCCACTAACTTCCTATGAAACCCCAAGAAATCCTATTAAAAAAACAATGGTTTGATCATTGCTCAACCAAACATCACTTTGGGACGGCTAAGAACCCCAACGCA